CCCCCAGCCCCACACCTGCACCATGGTGGTGAACTGCACGGTGTAGCAGTGTGTCCCTGTGCCCCACAGCAGCACCCCCAGCCCCACAGCAGCGCCCCCAGCCCCACAGCAGCGCCCCCAGCCCCACAGCAGCACCCCCAGCCCCACAGCAGCACCCCCAGCCCCACACCTGCACCATGGTGGTGAACTGCACGGTGTAGCGGCGCCGCCCGGCCGTGAAGCGCACGCTGGGCTCTCCGGCTCTCCAGGCGGCGTCGATGGTGCTGTTGTTGCTGGCGCTGTAGCTGCACCACCGGCCCGAGCGGTCGTCGAACCAGCGCCAGTTGTTGCCCGTGGCCTGCAGGTACTGGGGGGGCCGTGGGGAGGGGGGGGTCAGCGGCCTGGAGCCCCCCTGGGACCCCCAAACCTGCCCCACAGACCCCGCCCGGGCCGGGTGGGGTGGGCGAGGTCACCGTCCCCATCCCAGGGACACCCAGTGTCGTCCCCCCCGTGCCCCCCCGGCTGCTCCAGCCTCATTGTGTGTCCTCAGGAGCCCCCCAAACCCCCCTCAAACCCCCCCAAACCCCCCCAAATCCCCCCCAAACCCCCCCAAACTCCCCCACCTTGTTCATCTGCGCGCGGCGCTTGGAGGACACGGCCGTCTTCTCGTAGAAATCGATCAGCAGCAGCACGGGGGTGATCCACCTGGTTTTGGGGGGCGCAGAAGAGCTGTGAGAGCGTCCCCGGGGGGTTTTTGGGGAGGGGTCCTGGGAGGGGTCAGTCCTTACTTGGGGGTCTGCACCTCCTTGTGCTCCTTGGCCGCCTGCAGGCAGGGCTGCACCACCTCCAGCAGCTTGATCAGCACGTCCAGCACGCAGCTGGACTCCACCACGCGGGCACAGGGCAGCTTCAGCTCCTGGGGGGGCACCCCAAAAACATCAGCACCCCAAAAAAAACATCCCAGACACGCCCAAAAACCCCGACACAAATACCCAGAAACGGCCCCGAAACGGCCACGGGAACAGCCCCGAAGCAGCACGAGGACACGGGGCAGCTTCAGCTCCTGGGGCACCCCAAAACACATCCCAAACACCCCAAAACACATCCCAAACACCCCAAAACACATCCAAAACACATCCCAAACATCCCAAAACACATCCCAAGCACCCCAAAACACATCCCAAACACATCCCAAACATCCCAAAACACATCCCAAGCACCCCAAAACACATCCCAAACACCCCAAAACACATCCCAAACACCCCAAAACACCCCAAAACACATCCCAAGCACCCCAAAACACCCCCAGAACAACCCCAGAAGAACCCCAAAGCTCGGGAGTTTTGGGAAAGGAGCCGCCTCTGGAAAACTCCCCACGTATCTTGTGAGGGATGTGAGCCCCCGTGAGCCTGGGGCGCTCCCCCTGAGTTTTGGGTCCCCCCAGGTTTTGGATCCCCCCAGGATTTGGATCCCCCCCAGGATTTGGGTCCCCCCAGGATTTGGATCCCCCCAGGATTTGGATCCCCCCAGGATTTGGATCCCCCCAGGTTCTGGGGTCCCCCCAGGATTTGGATCCCCCCAGGTTTTGGGGTCCCCCCGTTTGGTCACCTCGAAGAGCAGGGTGAGCAGCAGGATGCGCGTGGCCAGGTTGGAGGCCTGGGGCAGGGTGGCCATTTGGCTGATCCACTCCGAGACCGTCTTGGTGTCGCTGGTGGTCAGCGGCACGGCCGCCTTGATCAGCACATCCGCGGCCTCCCACACCTGGGGGTCAGTGTGGGGTCAGTGTGGGGTCAGTGTGGGGTCAGTGTGGGGTCAGTGTGGTCAGTGTGGGGTCAGTGTGGGGTCAGTGTGGGGTCAGTGGGGTCAGTGGGGTCAGTGGGGTCATGGGGACACCTCGCACACCTGGCGGTTTAGGTGGTCCCAGGGCAGGTTTGGGCAGGTTCAGGGTGGGTTCAGGGGTCCCAGGGCAGGATCAGGGTGTGTTCAGGGTGGGTTTGGGGCAGGTTTGGGGGTCCCAGGGCAGGATCAGGGTGTGTTCAGGGTGGGTTTGGGGCAGGTTTGGGGGTCCCAGGGTGGGTTTGGGGGTCCCAGGGTGGGTTTGGGGGTCCGTACCTGCTGCACCACCTGTTTGAGCACGCTGTCGCGGTACGCGGGGCCGTTGCGGCGCACGGCCGTCATCAGCAGGTCGCACACGCGGTACACCGTGTCCGGCAGCTCGTCCAGCAGCTGCGAGCAGCCCGGCAGCATCGAGTCCGTGAACGCCCCCAGCTCCGCCGCCTCCAGCGGCTCGGCCCCCTCAAACTTCTCCAGGCACTTGGCCTCCTCCTCCTCCTGCCGCTCCCGCGCCCGCCGCTCCTCCTCCTCCTTCCGGCACGCGGCTTCCTGGGAAACAAACGGGGAGAAACGGGGGAGAAACGGGGGAAATGGGGAAAATGAGAAAAACGGGGAGAAACGGGGGAGAAACGGGGGAGAAACGGGGAAAATGGGGAGAAACAGGGGAAATGGGAAAAACGGGGAGAAATAGGGGAGAAACGGGGGAGAAACGGGGAAAATGGGGGGAAACGGGGAGAAATGGGGGAGAAATGGGAAAAATGGGGCAGAAATGAGGATTTGGGATAGGAAATAAAGATTTGGGGTGGGAAATGAGGGATTTGGGGTCAGGGAACGGGGTTTGGGGTCAGGGAACGGGGTTTGGGGTCAGGGAACGGGGTTTGGGGTCCCACCTCCGGGGACTCGGCGCGCTGCTCCATGGGGATGTCCTGGCCCAGGGACATGGCGATGGCTCTCATCATCTGATCCTCCTCAGACATGCTCAGGTCCTGGGGGGCAGCATCAGGGGCTGCGGGGACCCCCAAAACCGCCCCCAAATCCCCCCAAAGCACCCCAAAATCCACCAGGAACCCCTATGAACCACTCAGGACCCCCTAAAACCCTTCAGGATCCCCCCAAAACCCCTCCATTTCCCCTTCCTCATGTCCCCAACCCCTCCCTGTCCTCTGCTGAGCCCCCCAAACCCCTCTGTGTGCCCCCCAAACCCCTCTGTGTGCCCCCAAACCC